TGCCCAAAACTGAACTGCATATTCCAGATGAGGTATTACTAATGATTTGTACAGGGATAATATGATATCTCTCTCTCTGGAGTCTATACCTCTTTTAATACAAGAGATGATTTTGCTCGCTTTAGAAACTGCAGCTTGGCATTGCATGCCATTATTAAGCTTGTGATCTACTAGAACTCCCAGATCCTTCTCCACCATTGATTCCCGCAGATGTACTGCCATTAGTATGTATGATGCATGGATATTCTTAGCCCCATGTGCATAACCTTACATTTATCAACATTAAACCTCATTTGCCCCATAGTTGCCCAATTAAACAGTGCATTGAGGTCGGCTTATAAATTGGAGACATCCTGTAAGGACGTTATTTCACTGCACAGCTTGGTTTTATCTGCAAAAGACTGAAATTGTATTTTTAATCCCAGACCCTATATCGTTTATAAATATATTAAAAAGTAAGGGTCCCAACACTGAACCTTGGGTTACACCCAGGGGCAGAATGACAACTCATGGGGCCCCTGAGTCCTTGGCCACACTCAAAGCACACCCAAAAAAAGCCTATAAAAGGTACCAGGGGCATTTTATGGGGCCCCCTGCTGACCCAGGGCCCTCGGGCAGTGCCCGAGTGCTCGAATGGTCAGTCCACCCCTGGTTACACCACTGAGGTGGTAGGCTGCAGGAGTAAAAGCTCAGATCAATCCATTCATCCATCTGGGCTATACATTGTAGAGGCAGAGGCAGACGTGACTTCAATTAAATTGTCCAGTGAGGTGAGTGGAGGCTTACTCCCATTCAACCATCCATCCAGATAACAAGTGGTATGATTGTAGGCTGATGATCCTATCTATCCATCAATTCATCTATTTCTGGAATTTGTCCCTCACAAGCGCTGTTAGACCTTTTATGTTCTGGGGTCTAACATTCTGGTAAGCAGAATGTATGTAACATGTCCAAGTGCACTGTGGTGACTTTGAAGAGGAATCTATTTTCATAATTTTTGGGATACTTTTGAGTTTTATCTGGATGCTCTTTTTACTGAGAGATCTTTGATGATATATCTTATTCTTGCTGGATTTTTTTTAAATTTGTCTTTTGCAGTAATTTATTGGGATTTGCTAACGGCTTATTTAATTATATATTTGCTTTATTTAATTTCACACATGAAATGATAATTTTTATGACAGAGCAACACATTCTATATATTTATATGCAGGATAATAACCTCACAACAAGATACAGCAACCTTACAGGAAGAACTCAATAAAATGAAGGGGTGGGCAACTACATAGCAAATGAGGGTAAATACTGATAAATGTAATGCAGTTGGGGAATAAAAATATGCATGCAAGTTACACGGTAGGGCAGGCCTCACTAACTGGTAGATTGTAGTTTGGAACCGGACCAAGCGACTGGTCTGTTCTGATCACTGCAGATGCCTGTGTCTCCTCTCTTTCCCACGCCCTGTATAATAGCAGGTCAGAAGACAGGAGGGCTGGCTGGTCTGGAGTGAGGGCGGGAACAGCCCCACTTTTGAAGTCAACTAGCAGTGATTGGTTGCTATGAGGGCAGGTGGTCCTAGCAACCAATCAGCCTCTAGTATTCAGGAAAAGTTGGAAAGCCATTCAAACTGTTGCACCTCCCGTCTGCTGCCCTGCTGTGGAGGTAGGACTGGGTGCAATGTAAAGTGAGGGCTATAATATATTGGGGAAGGACTGTAATGTAAAGGGATACTGCAATATAAATGAGGGCATTGTAATGTAAAGAGGTACTGTAATATAGAGGGGGGGGCACTGTAATGTAACAGAGGGCTTCCATGTAAAGGGGTAGCATTATATGTAAAAGAGTGACTTCATTGTAAAGAGTGGCATGGTGATGTAAAGGGGTATGCTGTGATGTGGGTACTGTAATGTAACAGTGTTGTAATTTAAAGGTGGAGCTGCAAAAAAAAAGGATGGCTATAATTTAAAGGGGGAACCGTGATGTAAAGAAGGGCTGTGATGTAAAACGGAGGGAATATGATACGAATTGGGGGGCTGTGATGCAACTGGGGACTGTGAAGTAAAGGGGTAGGATGGGCTCTGTGATGTAAAGGAGGGCTGTGATGTAACTGGGGGACACTGATGTGAAGGTGAGGATTGATGACACTGATATAAAGAGGCTACTGTGAGAGTCATAAAACAAACATGAGATTCAGACCTGTGCAGGCAGAAAATGTTATTGATCAGACCTTCGTGAATTTTAATTCATCATCCCTGTGCTAGGGGGTCAACCTCTGGGGGAATGTAGAATAGAAAAGGGTCTGGGGGTCCTAGTCGACCACAGACTTAGCAATAGCATGCAATGTCAAGCTGCAGCAAGAGATACTACTAGAATTCTACCACTTTACAAAACTCTGGTTTGGCCACAGCTTGAGTATGCCATCCAGTTTAGGTCTCCAGTCCTCAGGAAGGATGTGCTAGAACTGGAGAGAGTCCATTGAAGGGCAACAAAGCTGATAAGGGGACTGGAGGACCTCAGTTATGAGGAACAACTACATATATTAAACTTATTCCCCCTGGAGAAGAGACGATTAAGAGAAGATAGCAATATACAAATATTTCAATTATCCCAGAATATGGAAAAATCTATTCAGTCTCAGAACACTTAAGAAGACACATGGCCACACAGTGAAGTTGGACGAGAAGCTGCTTAGCCATAAACTATGCAAGGAATTCTTTCCTGTTAGGGTGGTAAGGATGTGGAACTCCGTTCGACAATTGGTGGTGGCAGCGGGCATCTTAACAAACAAAATAAGCAGGCATATAGGAAATGTAGAGACATAAATACATATACACTTGTACACCCACATTCACACAGGATGAACTGGGTGGACTGATGTCTTTCTTCAACCTTACCAACTATGTAACTAAGAAATGGACATTGGACCTGGACCTGTATAGCACCCTGCTGGCTACACACTGCTACATAGCTCATGGCAATAAGTAGTCAGAGCTTGATATTGGCATCAGAAGATAAAAATTGAATGTTTTAAAAAGGAAAATAGGTTCATCACCTTAGGACCAAAAGACTTAGTCTCACAGAATGAGTGGTGTTATATGAGTGTATGCTAGTGGGGTCCTATCAAATTTTTTTGCCATTGTCCAGTCACCTCAGAGTAGCCTACATATAACCTATGGTCTATGAATACAAGTCCTGTGTTCTGTACTGACAATAGGGGAAAACTTTATTTATTTTTGTAGATAGAGTTTAGCTTTAACCACTTCTTGATCGCACTATAGCCAAATGACGGCTACAGCGTGATCATCCAGTTCTGGAAGGGCGTCATATGATATTCTCCCAGAACAGTGCCCCCAAGTGTCCACAGCTGTGTGCACCTGGCTCTCTCTGTGATCACTGTGTCCTTTGGACACAGCTGATCACATGACATGGTAAAGGGCCAATCACAGCGGCCTTTTACCATGTGATCAGCTGTGTCCAGTCACAGCTGATCACCATGTAAATACGCTTGCTGGTTATCAGCAGTACTTTCGTCACACTGTCACAGCGTGATGAAAGTACTGCTGATAACCAGCAAGTCTGAAAGGAGACATCTACATTGATAATAAGGGCACTGCTAATCTGTGCCCCTCAGTGCTGCCAATCTGTGCCCATCAGTGCTGCCAGTCAGTGCCCTTCAGTGCTGCCTATTAGTGCCCATCAGTGCCACCTATCAGTGCCGCATATCAGTGCTGCCTCATCAACGCACATCAGTGAAGGAGAAATATTACCTTTTTGCAAAATTTTATAATAGAAACTAAGAAAAACTTTTTTTTTTTCAAAATGTTTGACTTTTCGAATTGATTTGTTTAGCAAAAAAATAAAACACCCAGTGGTGATTAAATACCACCAAAAGAAATTTCTATTTGTGTGAAAAAAAAGATAAAAATTTTGTATGGGTACAGTGTTGCATGACTGCACAATTATCATTCAAAGTGTGACAGCGCTGAAAGCTGGAAATTGGCCTGGGCAGGAAGGGGGTAAAAGTGCCTGGTAGGCAAGTGATTAAAGCACTATGCAATGTATTGCAACAATAAGGGTTGCTCTACATATGAAAATATGTTTTTTCCTGCTGCTTCCATAATGTCATGTAATTTAATTTTTATTTTCTCCTGCAACTTTACAGACTGTTTAAAATAAGCTGTAAAGGAATAGAGTACCCCTCTTGTTGTCTTCTCCATTGAGCACTGCTCCAGATAAAACCTCTGAACAGTCTGGCCAATTATTTTTCATTCACAATGACGGTTAGCTTTATTATTGAATAAATGTATGCTGTGTGACAAAGGAAATATTGACCATTTGTAGTATACAATGGATGCAAAAGGGCATGTTCCTGCTTGGAACAGATAAACATTGCACACATGGTTTGACAGATTACCTTGGAGGAAAATGCACACTAAAAACTGTAAACAGCCAACAAAGGGAAAAGAACACACATTTGATTGTGACCATTTGCATTCAAACATATAACAGATAGTGATGTGGTTCAAGTTTGCTGTGATGCAGGGTTCAGAGTGAACTGAAAGCAGTTCACTGAACAGGTAAACAAAATGGCCAGATTTGGCCTATTCCTCTGTGAACCTCTGATTGCTACTGCTGTATTACTACTAGAGATGAGCGAATTATTCAAAAATTCGGTTCGGCTGATTCGCCGAATTCGCGGAAAAAATTCGCTTCGAGCCGAATATATTCGCTGTGAATTTAACTTATAAAAAGGGTGTTTCTAGGCTTCAGAGAGCCTTTATATTAGTGCAGAACACTGTACCTTTAATTTTTAAATGCCCTTGGAGTCTGCTGGGGAAGAGAAATAATACTGTCAGTCAGTATGACATGCAGATGAGTGCCGTCGGTTTTAGAATCACCGCACACTTCACTCATTTGGGCAGTCACGGGGCCAAAACCAGAGTGTGGAGCCACAGTGTGGCGGTGGAGGCAGCAGCAATGGGAGGCCATACAGCACCCTATGACAAAATGGAACCCACCAGCAGTGTGAGGAGACCTGAAAGTGGCACATGGCAGAGTGTGGCGATGGAGACAGCAGCAATGGGAGGCCGTACAGGGACCCATGACACACTCTGGACCTGGCAGCAGCATGAGGAGGCGGTACAGGGGCCCATGACAGATTACGGGCCTGGCAGCAGCATGAGGAGTGGTACGGGGGCCCATGGCAGATTACGGGCCTTGGCAGCAGCATGAGGAGGCGGTACAGGGGCCCATGGCAGAGTGGCGGAGCGTAAGCAGCTAAAAATTGAGGCCATACAGAGGCCTATGTTAAAAAGTCCCCCCAGCAGCAGCGTGGGGAGACGACTATCAAGAGTCCAATGGCAGAGTGGCGGAGCAGAAGCAGCTTCAATTGAAGGCCATACACAGGCCTAGGTTAAAAAGCGGAAGCCGTCAGCAGCGTGAGCAGACGACAGAGACACATGGCGCAGGGTGGCGGTGGATGCAGCAGTATTCGGAAGCCAAACACAGCCCTCATTTAAAAAGCGGAAGCCGTCAGCAGCGTGAGCAGACGACAGAGGCACATGGCGCAGGGTGGCGGTGGAGGCAGCAGCAATGGAAGGCCATACAGCACCCTATCACAAAATGGAACCCACCAACAGTGTAAGGAGACCTGAAAGTGGCACATGGCGCAGGGTGGCGGTGGAGGCAGCAGTATTCGGAAGCCATACACAGGCCTAGGTTAAAAAGCGGAAGCCGTCAGCAGCGTGAGCAGACGACAGAGACACATGGCGCAGGGTGGCGGTGGATGCAGCAGTATTCGGAAGCCAAACACAGGCCTCGGTTAAAAAGCGGAAGCCGTCAGCAGCGTGAGCAGACGACAGAGCACATGGCGCAGGGTGGCGGTGGAGGCAGCAGCATTCGGAAGGCCATACAGCACCCTATACAAAAGGAACCCGTCAACAGTGTAAGGAGACCTGAAAGAGGCACATGGCGCAGGGTGGCGGTGGAGCAGCAGTATTCGGAAGCCATACACAGGCCTAGGTTAAAAAGCGGAAGCCGTCAGCAGCGTGAGCAGACGACAGAGACACATGGCGCAGGGTGGCGGTGGATGCAGCAGTATTCGGAAGCCAAACACAGGCCTCGGTTAAAAAGCGGAAGCCGTCAGCAGCGTGAGCAGACGACAGAGGCACATGTCGCAGGAGCGGTGGATGGCAGCAGTATTCGGAAGCCAAACACAGGCCTCGGTTAAAAAGCGGAAAGCCGTCAGCAGCGTGAGCAGACGACAGAGGCACATGGCGCAGGGTGGCGGTGGAGGCAGCAGTATTCGGAAGCCATACACAGCCTAGGTTAAAAAGCGGAACCCGTCAGCAGCGTGAGCAGACGACAGAGACACATGGCGCAGGGTGGCGGTGGATGCAGCAGTATTCGGAAGCCAAACACAGGCCTCGGTTAAAAAGCGGAAGCCGTCAGCAGCGTGAGCAGACGACAGAGGCACATGGCGCAGGGTGGCGGTGGAGGCAGCAGCAATGGAAGGCCATACAGCACCCTATCAAAAATGGAAGCCCCAGCAGCGTGTAAGGAGACCTGAAAGTGGCACATGGCGCAGGGTGGCGGTGGAGGCAGCAGTATTCGGAAGCCATACACAGGCCTAGGTTAAAAAGCGGAAGCCGTCAGCAGCGTGAGCAGACGACAGAGACACATGGCGCAGGGTGGCGGTGGATGCAGCAGTATTCGGAAGCCAAACACAGGCCTCGGTTAAAAAGCGGAAGCCGTCAGCAGCGTGAGCAGACGACAGGCACATGGCGCAGGGTGGCGGTGGAGGCAGCAGCAATGGAAGGCCATACAGCACCCTATCACAAAATGGAACCCACCAACATGTAAGGAGACCTGAAAGTGGCACATGGCGCAGGGTGGCGGTGGAGGCAGCAGTATTCGGAAGCCAAACACAGGCCTAGGTTAAAAAGCGGAAGCCGTCAGCAGCGTGTGAGCAGACGACAGAGCACATGGCGCAGGGTGGCGGTGGATGCAGCAGTATTCGGAAGCCAAACACAGGCCTAGGTTAAAAAGCGGAAGCCGTCAGCAGCGTGAGCAGACGACAGAGGCACATGGCGCAGGGTGGCGGTGGAGGCAGCAGCAGTATTGGAAGCCAAACACACCCTATCACAAAATGGAACCCACCAACAGTGTAAGCAGAGACCAGTGGCACATGGCGCAGGGTGGCGGTGGAGGCAGCAGTATTCGGAAGCCATACACAGGCCTAGGTAAAAAAAAAGCGGAAGCCGTCAGCAGCGTGAGCAGACGACAGAGACACATGGCGCAGGGTGGCGGTGGATGCAGCAGTATTCGGAAGCCAAACACAGCCTAGGTTAAAAAGCGGAAGCCGTCAGCAGCGTGAGCAGACGACAGAGACACATGGCGCAGGGTGGCGGTGGAGGGAGCAGCAGTATTCGGAAGCCAAACACAGGCCTCGGTTAAAAAGCGGAAGCCGTCAGCAGCGTGAGCAGACGACAGAGGCACATGGCGCAGGGTGGCGGTGGAGGCAGCAGTATTCGGAAGCCATACACAGGCCTCGGTTAAAAAAGCGGAAAGCCGTCAGCAGCGTGAGCAGACGACAGAGGCACATGGCGCAGGGTGGCGGTGGAGGCAGCAGTATTCGGAAGCCAAACACAGGCCTCGGTTAAAAAGCGGAAGCCGTCAGCAGCGTGAGCAGACGACAGAGGCACATGGCGCAGGGTGGCGGTGGAGGCAGCAGCAATGGAAGGCCATACACACCCTATCACAAAATGGAACCCACCAACAGTGTAAGGAGACCTGAAAGTGGCACATGGCGCAGGGTGGCGGTGGAGGCAGCAGTATTCGGAAGCCATACACAGGCCTCGGTTAAAAAGCGGAAGCCGTCAGCAGCGTGAGACGACAGAGACACATGGCGCAGGGTGGCGGTGGATGCAGCAGTATTCGGAAGCCAAACACAGGCCTCGGTTAAAAAGCGGAAGCCGTCAGCAGCGTGAGCAGACGACAGAGGCACATGGCGCAGGGTGGCGGTGGAGGCAGCAGTATTCGGAAGCCATACACAGGCCTAGGTTTAAAACTGGAACCCAGCAGCGTGAGCAGACGACAAAGACGCACATGGCAGAGGATGGATCTGGCAGCAGTATGAGAAGGCGGTACAGGGGCCCGTGGCACAGTGTGGTGATGGGGGCTACAGCAACTGGATGCCAGAAAGTGGCCGATAGGGCTATATACTGCATGGAATTATAAAGTTGTAAAGACACAGCGGCCTATAAGGCTATACACACTATAACAATCATGACTTGATTGACCATTGGCCTATAAGGCTATACACAGCATGAATATCATGACTTATTCTGAGAGTGGTTTGGAAGGCTATATACAAAAAGTAATTCATGAGCTGTCGGACAGCGGACAATAAGTACATATATACAAATCAATTCATCAGCTGTCCAGCCAGCGGCCTCAAAGGCGACACATATAGAAAGCAATTCATGAGCTGTTCAGACAGCGGCCTCTAAGGCGACAGATATACAAAGCAATTCCCGAGGTGTTCAGTGAGCGGCCTGAACGGCTAGGTTATTAGGTCAGTTGTGTCAGGAACTGGTGGTTTGAAATCCAGACTAATCCACGCCTGATTCATTTTTTACAAACGTGAGTCTCTCCACACTTTGGGTGGACAGTCGTGTCCTCCGCGGAGTTACAATACCTCCTGCCGCACTAAAACACGCGCTCCGATGCCACGCTACTGGCCGGGCATGACAGCCTTTCAAGGGCAAATTCAGCTAGTTTGGGGCCAAAGGTCAAGTTTCGTTGCCCAGTAGTCAAGGGGATTGTCTACCTCGGTTGGCAGGGTGCTGTCCAAGTAGGCCCAAGCCTGTTGTTTGAGGTCCTGCTCCAGGTCCACCTGATGCTGCTGCTGCTGCGACTGGTTAGTAGTTTCCTCACTGCGCTGGTGAAGAAAGCTACTCATCATCGACTGCAGACTGAGGCAGCCGCTGCTGGTGGAGCTGCCACTGCTCCTACCACCCCACCCCCTCCCCTGCTGCCATGGCAGCGGAACGCGAGCGCACAGGGCCCACAGTGTCTGAGGATGGACGTTGGCGCAGAAAGGCAGAGACCAACTGACTACATAGGTGGTTTTTATAGTACTTTATTTTGGCCTCCCTCTCAGCAGGTGTGAAAAAGGCCACCATTTTTGAACGGTAGCGAGGGTCCAACAAGGTGGACAGCCAAAAGTCATCCCTCTGTCTGATGGTTATTATTCGGCTGTCGCTACGCAAGCAACCGAGCATGCTATGGGCCATTTGTGCCAAGGAATGCGAGGGACTCCCTGCCTCCATCTCCACAGCATACTGCCACGGTGCGTCTGGGTCCTCTGTCTCCTCCTCCTCTCTACCAGATGCTCCTGCTCCTCCACTCCTGTCCGCTGAGTGGAAAAACCACCCATTTCACTCAATAATTCCTGAGCACCAATGTCCTCCTCTACCTCCTCCTCTTCTTCCTGTCCTGCCCCCACAGGGGTCATGTGGCGTTGAGATCTGTGCGCCACGTCTACCGCACCCTGACCAGCCATTGTTAACAGCATTTGTTCCAGGACGTGCAACAGAGGAATGACGTCGTTCATCCCATAGTCCTGCCGACTCACGAATAGCGTGGCCTCCTCAAAGGGCCTGAGCAAGCGGCAGGTGTCACGCATGAGCTGCCAATGGCTGACATCTAAGTTACACAGGGGTACCTTTATCCGCTTGTAACATCAGGAAATCGGTGATGGCCTTTCGCTGTTCGTAAAGGCGGTCTAACATATGTAGGGTTGAATTCCACCTTGTTGCAACGTCGCAGATCAGGCGATGCTGTGGAATTCCGTTCTGCCGCTGCAGCTCAAGGAGGGTGTGCTTTGCGGTGTAGGAATGGCTGAAATGCATGCAAAGTTTACGTGACATTTTAAGGATGTCTTGCAGTGGGATGGTGGATTTTAGGAACCGCTTGACAACCAGATTGAACACGTGAGCCATGCATGGCGCATGGCACAACCTTCCTTGACGCAGAGCAGACACCATGTTCTTTCCGTTGTCGGTCAACATGGTTCCGATTTTCAGTTTGCGCGGAGACAGCCATCTGTCGATTTCTCTGTTCATTACACTCAGAAGTTCCTCCCCTGTGTGACTACGTTCGCCAAGGCATACCAGGTGCAGCACAGCGTGACACCGTTGCGCCCTGCACATGTGATATGCCGGTCGGGTAATGGGACTTGGCACGGGGGTGGCGGCTGAGGACACGGCGGAAGAAGAGGTGGTAGAGGCGGACATCTTTGCTGGACCAAGGACGTGCAAACGTGGAGGCAAAAGCGGCGTGACCTGTCCAAGTTGCTGGTGCGGCTGTGTGCCGGCACCACGTTCACCCAGTGGGCCGTAAATGACATGTACTGTCCCTGACCGTAGTTACAGCTCCACACGTCGGCGCTGCCGTGCACTTTGGCAGAGACCGACATGCTCAAAGACTGGCCCACCATCTCTTCTACATGTGAATGCAGGGCTGGCACTGCCTTTTTGGCGAAGAAATGCCGGCTTGGCACTCTCCACCGCGGCTCGGCACAAGCCATCATTTCTCGGAAAGGTGCTGAGTCCACCACTTGGAAAGGGAGGGACTGCAGCACCAGCAACTTGGACAGGAGGACGTTCAGCTTCTGCACCGTCGGGTGCGTGCTCGCAAACTGTTGTCTCTTGGAAACGGATTCCAAGAAAGACTGCTGACGGAAT